GCGAGCAGCACCGCGGCGGCGGCGCCGAGGGCGGCCAAGAAGGCGCTGCTGCTGCGGCACCGCGCGCTGGAGCCGGGCGCGGAGCAGGAGCCGCTGGTCAAGGTGGTGGACGGGCAGGTGCTGTACCTGTGCGGCGTGTGCCACCGCGACCGCGAGCAGCACCGCGGCGGCGGCGCCGAGGGCGGCCAAGAAGGCGCTGCTGCTGCGGCACCGCGCGCTGGAGCCGGGCGTGGAGCAGGAGCCGCTGGTCAAGGTGGTGGACGGGCAGGTGCTGTACCTGTGCGGCGTGTGCCAGCGCTCCTACATGACCCTGTCCAGCCTGAAGCGCCACGCCAACGTCCACTCGTGGCGCCGCAAGTACCCGTGCCGCTACTGCGACAAGGTGTTCGCGCTGGCCGAGTACCGCACCAAGCACGAGGTGTGGCACACGGGCGAGCGCCGCTACCAGTGCATCTTCTGCTGGGACACCTTCGTCACCTACTACAACCTCAAGACGCACCAAAAAGCCTTCCACGGCATCAGCCCGGGGCTCATCGCCTCCGAGAAGACGCCCAACGGCGGCTACCGGCCCAAGCTCAACGCGCTCAAGCTCTACCGCCTGCTGCCCATGCGGGCCAACAAGCGGCCCTACAAGACCTACAGCCAGGGCGCCGTTCCCCCGCCGCTCTCGTGCAACTGGGGGCGCTCCTCGTGCAAAACCCCCCTTGCACACCCCCCTTGCACACCCCCCTGACCCCCCTTGCACACCCCTGCCCCCCCCGCTCCGTTGCACACTCACACTCACGCCCAGCTCACGCTGACGCTCTGCCACACCCGCCGAGCGTGCGAGGGGCCCCCGGGGGGCACGCCTTGCACGAGGGGGGAGTGTGCACGAGGGGGAGTGTGCACGGGGGGCCTTGCACGAGGACGGGCCGTGCTTGTGCAAGGCCGGTGCGCGAGCGAGCGAATCCTCGTGCAAAGACCCAATCTTTGTGCAAGGAGGGCCTGACCCTCGTGCAAATCCTCGTGCAAAAACCTGGTCCCCGTGCAAGGATGATCCTCGTGTGCAAGGGTCCTTGTGCAAGGATGGTCCTCGTGCAAGGATCCTCGTGCAAGGATGGTCCTCGTGCAAGGGTCCACGTGCAAAATTCCTGCTGCAAGGATCCTCCTCGTGCAAAGTGCGTGTGCAAGGATCCTCGTGCAAGGATGGTCCTCGTGCAAGGGTCCACGTGCAAGGGACGTTCCTTGCGCGAGGATCCACGTGCAAAACTCCTGCTGCAAGGATCCTCCTCGTGCAAAGTGCGTGTGCAAGGATCCTCGTGCAAGGACTGTCCTCGTGCAAGGCTCGTTCTCGTGCAAGAATCCGTGTGCAAGGGACGTTCCTTGCGGCAGAATCTGTGTGCAAGGACCCTCCTCGTGCAAGGTGCGTGTGCAAGGACCCTTGTGCAAGGACCCTTGTGCAAGATTCTGCCACGTGCAAGGCGGATCCTTGTGCAAGAATGATCCTCGTGCAAGGATTGTCCTTGTGCAAAGTGCGTGTGCAGGGGACATTCCTCGTGCAAAGCGTGTGTGCAAGGATCATCCTCGTGCAAGGATCCTCGTGCAAGTCGGGACATTCCTTGTGCAAAGCGCGCGTGCAAGGATCCTCGTGCAAGGATCCTTGTGCAAGAATTGTCCTCGTGCGAGGATCCTCGTGCAACCTGTGCCCATACAAAGCGCGTGTGCAAAGGTCCTCGTGCAAGGATCCTCGTGCAAGGAACGTTCCTCGTGCAGGGCCTGCATGCAAGGATGGTCCACATGCAAGGATCCACGTGCAAGGATCCTTGTGCAAATTGCCCTCGTGCAAAGTGCGTGTGCAAAGCCGTCGTGCAAGGATCCTCGTGCAAGGAACATTCCTCGTGCAAGGATTGTCCTTGTGTAAAGTGCGTGTGCAAAGCCGTCGTGCAAGGATCCTTGTGCAAATTGTCCGCGTGCAAAGCCCTCGTGCAAGGATTGTCCTTGAGCAAGGATCCCCCTCGTGCAAGGATCATCCTCGTGCAAAGCGCGTGTGCAAAGATCATCCTCATGCAAGGATCATCCTCGTGCAAAGTGCGTGTGCAAGGATCATCCTCGTGCAAAGCGCGTGTGCAAGGATCGTCCTCGTGCAAGGATCCATGTGCAAAGCGCGTGTGCAAAGCTGTCATGCAAGGATCCTTGTGCAAATTGTCCTCGTGCAAAGCGCGCGTGCAAGGATCCTCGTGCAAGGAACATTCCACGTGCAAAGCGCACGTGCAAGGATCGTCCTCGTGCAAGGATCCACGTGCAAAGCGCGTGTGCAAAGCCCTCGTGCAAGGATCCTTGTGCAAATTGCCCTCGTGCAAAGCGCGTGTGCAAGGGCCTCGTGCAAGGATCCTTGTGCAAATTGCCCTCGTGCAAAGTGCGTGTGCAAGGATCATCCTTGTGCAAATTGTCCTCGTGCAAAGCGCGCGTGCAAGGATCATCCTCGTGCAAGGACTTGTGCAAAGCGCGTGTGCAAAGCCCTCGTGCAAGGATCCTTGTGCAAATTGCCCTTGTGCAAAGTGCCCGTGCAAAGATCGTCCTCGTGCAAGGATCCTTGTGCAAAGTGCGTGTGCAAGGGCCTCGTGCAAGGATCCCCCTCGTGCAAGGATCCACATGCAAAGCGCGTGTGCAAAGCCCTCGTGCAAGGATCATCCTCGTGCAAATTGCCCTCATTTGGGGACAGTGGGGGGATTGGGGACAGCGGGGACATTTGGGGACATTGGGGACAGTGGAGACATTGGGGACATTGAGGGGATTGGGGACATTTGGGAAAAATGGGGACACTTGGGGACATTTGGGGATTAGGGGCAGTGGGGACATTTGGGATATTGGAGGGATTGGGGACATTTGGGGACATCAGGGGGATTTGGGACATTGGAAGATTGGGGGATTTGGGGACAGCGGGGGGATTGGGGACATTGGGGACACATTGGGGACTTTGGGGATTGGGGACATTGGGGTGATTGGGAGATTGGGGGGATTTGGGACATTGCGGGGATTGGGGACATTTGGGACACGTTGGGGACATCGATCAGGGACATCGGGGACATGGGAGGGACAGTTCCCGGTGGGGGTGGCACTGAGGGGACACGGAGGGACATTGGGGGTGACATCGGGGGGTCCCCAAATCCAGACCCCCCACGGAGCAGCAACAACCTGTTATTGTACACGAGGGGGGGAGGGGAACCCCTTTTTTGGGGGTCCCCCTTTTTTTGGGGAGGGGGCCCAAAAGGTGTCCCTGAGTCACGGGGGGAGGGGGGGGACATGAGGTAAATTTGGGGACCCCCCCAGGTGGCACCGAGCTGAGGGAGGGGGGGGTCCTGAGGTCTGGGGGGGTCCCTCGAGTTTTGGGGTCTCTCTTTTTTTGGGGGGGATGTTGATTTTTGGAAGGTTCCCGCTTTTTGTGCCCCCATTCCAGACACCCCAAAAAGGGGGGGACGCCCCAATTTTGGGCCCCAACTCCAGGAATCCTCAAGGGGGGGGTCCCCCACTTTCAAGCCCCTTCAGAATGGAGCCCCCCACTTTTAGAGCCCCCAACATTCCCCGTCGTCCCCCACCCAAAATTTTGGGGTTCAATCTCACTCTCAGCAGATGGAGTCCCCCTACAAAATTTTGGGGTTCAATCCCTCTCACGGCAGACAACAGATGGAGTTACCCCGCAAAATTTTGGGGTGAAATCCCACTCAGAGCAGATGGACCCCCACCCAAAATTTTGGGGTGCAATCCCACTCAGAGCAGATGGAGCCCCACCCAAAATTTTGGGGTGAAATCCCACTCAGAGCAGATGGAGCCCCACCCAAAATTTTGGGGTGCAATCCCACTCCCAGAGATGAAGTCCCCCTACAAAATTTTGGGGTTCACCCCCTCTCAGAGCAGATGACTGGTAGAGTTACCCCCCAAAATTTTTGGGGTGCCCTCCCCTCACAGCAACCGACAGGTGGAGTTACCCCCCAAAATTTTGGGGTTCAACCCCTCTCAGAGCAGATGAGTGGTAGAGTTACCCCCCAAAATTTTGGGGTTCAACTCCTCTCAGAGCGGATGACAGAAGGAGTTACCCCCCAAAATTTTGGGGTGCAATCCCACTCCCAGAGATGGAGTCCCCCCAAAATTTTGGGGTTCAACCCCTCTCAGAGCAGATGACAGGTAGAGTTACCCCCCCAAAATTTTGGGGTGCCCCCCGCTCACAGCAACCAACAGGTGGAGTTACCCCCAAAATTTTGGGGCTCAACCCCTCTCAGAGCAGATGACAGGTAGAGTTACCCCCCCAAAATTTTGGGGTGCAATCCCGCTCACAGCAGATGGAGCCCCACCCAAATTTTGGGGTGCAATCCCACTCCCAGAGATGGAGTCCCCCCAAAATTTTGGGGTTCAACCCCTCTCAGAGCAGATGACAGGTAGAGTTACCCCCCAAAACTTTGGGGTGCCCCCCGCTCACAGCAACCAACAGGTGGAGTTACCCCCCAAAATTTTGTGGAGTTACCCCCAACATTTTGGGGTGCCCCCCCCTCACAGCAGCCGGCAGGTGGAGTTACCCCCAACATTTTGGGGTGCCCCCCCCTCACAGCAGCCGGCAGGTGGAGGACTTGCCCCCCCCGGCCCCCCCCGCGGCGCTGGGGTCCAGGTCGGGGGGCAGCGTCCCCGGGGCCCCCCAAACGTTGAGCTCCTCGAAGACGCCGGTCTCGATCAGCTCCTCCTGCCAGGGGATGGGGACGGTGCCCGAGGCGAAGGCGTCGCACAGCGCCGCGTCCCCCGCGTCCAGCTCCACGCCCTTGACCGTGGAGAAGGCCCCCACGTCGCCCAGGTCCTTGGCGTACACGCGCCGGGGGTCCGGCACGAACGGCGGGGGCACCAGGCCTTGGGGGGGGGGGAGGACACCCCGTTGGTTTTGGGGGGCAATCAGAGAGACGCTCGGTAGGCCCAGTATGGCCCAGTATGGGCCGGTGACCAGGGGAACCCCCAGGAACCCCCAGGAACCCCGAGGAACATCTGAGAACTTCCAAAAACCTCTCAAGTACCACAAGGAACTCCCCAAAATTCAGCCCAGGGCTCCCAGAGACCTCCCAGTACAGCCCAGTACAGCCCAGTGTAGCCCAGTACAGCCCAGTATGGGCCGGTGACCAGGGGAACCCCCAGGAACCCCCAGGAACCCTCAGGAGCATCTGAGAACTTCCAAAAACCACCCCAGAACCACCAGGAACTCCCCAAAATTCAGCTCAGGGCTCCCAGAAACCTCCCAGTACAGCCCAGTACAGCCCAGTATGGCCCAGTATGGGCCGGTGACCAGGGGAACCCCCAGGAACCC